TACGACCAGCCTGGGCTGGCCCGCTCCTCTGAGCCAGCACAGATGTCCCCAAGCCATGGCCTGAACAAGCAGGTGGGTCCCCCCATGCTGGTCCAAGGGGCTGGTAGGGCAGAGATGGGGTGGCCCAGGAGCCAATTCCTATCCCCTGTGGCACAGGTGTCACGTCTTGCTACTGCAGGGTCCGGTTGCATATACGCCCAGCGCTGGTTCCCCGCGGGGGGAACGCAGCCCAGCTCCAGGCCGGTGCACAAATCCTGCCACTACCTCTGATCCCCCCCCTCTCGCTGGTCTCTCACAGGCACCTGAGTGGCAGCAGCAAGGCCAGCGCTACAGCAGCATCAGGTAGCTTGTGCCCCAGGGCCAGCCGGGGGTTAAAGCAGCCAGCCCTGGGGCTGGGAAGGGACGTGGGGCCAGCTCTGCCTGGCTCGACCCTGCCCAGCAGCAGGCGTGTCTCTGCTACCCTCCTGACCCCATGGCAGCGGCATCACCTGGCTTCTCATCCCCCAGGGAATATGAGCACAACGCTGTGAGGAAGAGGTTCACGCGGGCCAGGGATGACTCGGACCAGGACGAAGGCTACGAGTGGGGCCCAGTGACAGATGTGTAGCAGCACCGCTGCCCTGTCCCACTGGGCAGCCCTGCCCCACGCATCAGTGCAGGTAGTGCCCAGCAGCACGCTGTGGCAGGGCCTAATCCTGCTGCACCCCTCCCCACCCAGCACCACTAAGTGCCTCCTTCCTCCTTCTGGCCATGGCCTCCGCTGCTGGAATAAAAGGGATGTCTTGATCAGGCCGGGCTGTTCCCGTGCATGCTGGGTGGCCTTGCTGGGACCCAGGCACCCCCCAGCCAGACACCTTGCCTGCCCTGAGAGGCATTGGTGCGGGGGTCAGGCTTGGTCTGTGCCAAGGTCTGGCACTGCAACAGGCTCAGGGTGCACCCCCCGAGCTGAGCCGCCCCTGCTGCAGCCCAGCCAGGGCCCCTGAAACAGTCTTCCCCAAACTTTTTTATTTTTACACCAACCAAGCACACAGCAAAGTCAGCACTGCCTTGGCCACAGGGGCCAGAGTCATTAAGGACACAGCACCAGGGGCTGGGCCCAGGATGGGGACTGGGCAGCACTGTGACAGCACCGAGAGCTGTGACCCAGTGCCCAGGGGCACGGGGGCCGGACTGTGCGTGCAGAGCTGTTAAAGGCAGCACCAGGGAAAAGCAGAGGTAGTTTCCCAGCTTGGTGCAACAGGTCTAATTGGGAGTTCATCTGCATCCCAACAGGCCCCTGACAAAGCCAGGGAGAAGGAGCAGGTGCCCAGGGTGCTGCTGCCCTTAAGGCGCAGTCTGGGATCTGCCGGCTCTCCCTCGGGGGTGCCAGCGTGCACCCACACACTGGCAGCAGGGTCAGTGCTGCTCAAGGGCTGTGTTAGGATGTGCCTGGGGGCTGTGCTTCCAGCACCATCCCCCCGTGGGGAAAGGCACTGTCAGTGAGCATAAAAGCACCATCTGTGGTGACTGGATGGGGTGACCCCTCACATGGGGTCCCTCTCCTCCTGCCAGACGCTGTGCGGCAGTGGGACAGGCACCGTGCAGGCACTGTGAGGCAGGGGGGGGTAAATGGAGGGGGTGAAGTGCCCAAAACAAGGCACCAGAAGCCCTGGTATCAGGCCGGAGCTGATACCAGAGCTGGGTATCAGGCCCCTGAAGTTCCACTGTGTCCTGAGTAAAACTGAAGAGGCTCTGGATTAGGCCTGGCTGGGGACTGGAGGGCTCCAATGGGGCAGAGCCTGTCCTGCCCTCAGGGCCCCAGGCACATGCAGTGACAGCCAGCAGCTCAGAGGAAGATGGGCTGCTCCTGCCCGGTCAGTAAGCGATACGTGGAGGCCGGCATGGTCTTGATGTGGACCTAGGCAGAGATGCACAGATCAGCTGGGAGCCACCAAGCCCCGGGCTGGGGCGTGCCGGGACAGAACCCTGAGCCCAACCTGCTCCGCGTGCAGCTGCCCTGCAGCATGGGAGCCCTGGCTGGCACCCAGCCTGGGCCCAGCTCACCTCACTGACTGCCTGAGTGAGGATCTGGATGATCTTCTCATGGGGCGTTGCCACCACGCTCTGTCCGTTGATCTCTATGATGCGGTGCCCCACGCGGATGCCACCTCTCTCTGCGATGCCCCCACGCATCAGGCTGCAGATCTGGGGAGCAGGGAGCACTGGTAAGATCAGAGCTGTGCCCAGAGCCCAGGGCCATGTGCAACCTCCACCCCAGACCCTCTCATCTGTGCAGCCTCCCAGCAAGAGCTCTGGACTTGTGTGCTGTCTCCTGCATGGGCACGCAGCAATAGCAGGGATGTCCCTTTGCATGGCTGCCACCGGAGCAACATGCTGAGCCGCAGGGTAAGGGCAGCCCACAGGCTGTTCCCCCAGCTGATGAGGAGCTCAGCTCCCCCCTCCTGCCCACCCAACCCTCGTGGTCCCCTCAATCCTGGGCTGCAGAGCCAGAGCAGGCATTGCTCCCTTGGGCAGCAGCTCCCACGCACCTGTGGGGTTAACTGCACCTCCAATACTAGTGGGAGCACAGCCGTGCCTCCATCACCCACCCCCATCAACTCCCGCAGGTCCTGCAAACGCTCCTCTCTGCCTTTCCGATGCAGCCACTGCAGAGCCCAGACCAGGGTGTGGCTGGGGCACTGGGAACAGCACAAATACCATTAAGGTCATGACAAGAAATCACGAAAGAAACCACCACCCCAAAAATCGAACAGCTAAGGAGCACCAGGGGGTCAGGTCCAACTGCTGGTGTTGCAGGACAGCTACAAAAAGCCTTCTGCTGTGGCACAGCAGAGCCCTGGTGAACCTCACCCCCAGCAGGCACAAAGAGCACGCTCGTCCGTGCAGACGCAGCCAGAGCTGTGTCTGTGCCCCAGACGGGGCTGAAGCCCTTGGCTGATCCTGGCCAGGCCCTGCTGCCATCCCTCCGGGCACTCACCACGCCATTCTCAACGCAGAAGCCCAGCTGGTACTTGGAGTCCGGGCGCCGGATGACAGCTGTGGTGACAGGGGGACAGTGCACTATGTTCAGTGTCACCTCAGTCTGGCGCTTCAGCTCCTGGAAGATGGGATGGGACTCTGTAAGGCTTTGGAGAGGCACGGCTGAGCGGGGTGATGCAGCCATACTGCTCACAGGAGGGGTAAGGATTAGCAACCCGTTTTCAGTGCGGAAACTGAGGCACACACAGGGATACTGTCATGCTCAAATTCAGGGAGAACTTAGAAATCCAGTCCAAGACATTCCACTCTTCCCCTGAGGCCGCAGTGTCCTTGCTTTCAGCTCCTTCCTGCCCCAAAGGTAGAAGATGCAACAGGTTCCCTCTAGGCCAAGGTGCCTGCCTACATTCACCCTCCTCCTCAGGCAGGGCCCTGCCACAGCAAGTTTAGTCCCTAGCTTCTTCCCTGCCTTGTCACATCCCTTCCTCCTAAGCGCTGTGAGCAGGCAGCCCACAGAACAGGTATGCCTCCTTCACTCCGGCCGGCGTAGCCTCCAACGACCCACCCGCTGCCAGGCTGGGAGCACTGGGGGGACTCCAGCATTACAGACCCCCAGCCAAACACACACAGGCTGGGACCTGCCATACTCCCTCCTGGCAGGGGGAGGCAGTCGGCCAGCCCAGGCACAGCCCCAGCTCACCCGGATGATGCTCTGGCAGGTGGGGAGGGGCAGCCCCACCAGGCTCGTCCCGTTGACGGACACGAGGCGGTCCCCGATGCTCAGCTCGCCAGACCTCTCCGCGGGGCTCCCATGCATCAGGTTAGCAATGACCACTGTGGGCAGGATGGAGCCCCAGCCCGACTCCACAACGGCGATGCCCAGGATCTCCCCCTTCTGCTTCTGGATGCAGACCTGGGGAAGGAGGCCACGGGTGGGTTATGGTCACCAGAGTCACAGGGCTTGTGTCCCAGCACGGGTGTCCTGGGCTCACAGCCAGCTGGGATGGGGCCCAGTTTTGTAGGGGGCACCTCAGCTGTGCAGGGAGCTGTGGAGAGGATGACACAGAGGTGCTGACGGGTACCCCGCAGTGTCCCCATCCCTCCACAGCAGCTCTTACATCCTTGCAGTTCTCCTGCTGGGAGAAGTGGGTCAACTCCGCATTGTATTGCTCCTGGTCCTCGAGGGCACGGCTGTACTGGCGAGGGCTCAGCTCACTCGGGTCGATGCTGTTAGCCTCCAGGAAGCGCTGGTAGGCGACGCCGAACGCCTGCCCAATAGCCTGAGCGATGATCTCGGCCTGGGGAAAGAGAGGGTTGTTCATGCCCATGGGTCACGGCCAACGGTCTCATGGCTGAGCTGCCAGCGATGCCCAGCACAGGCACTGTGCCCTGGGAGCTCCAGGGCATGACTCCTTCCCTGCCTGAATGGGTCCCTTTATGGTGCTAATTTCGC